AAAATACTAAAGGTGTCAAAAAGAACAAAATAAGGACACAATTAAATAGCATCTGCTATCAAGGCTATGTTTCAAAATTATTCAAACTAATAAATGAATCACTACAGTAGTAACATGGCAGTCACATGCACAGCAAATTCCCACCCCACCACAAAAGAAATCCTACTATGTTAAATAAGGAAGAAATCTTTTAATGTTGCCCTGATAGATCAGGACAGATTTGTCTGGGTCCTCAGCTTAAAAACCTTTCCTGAAAGGCAGACCTCCATCAATGCACCTGCACCAATAGCACAGCAATTAAAATTGGGGATGCATAACATCTTGGAGGGCTGTGAGATTGGAGGAGATTACAAAGATAGGAAGGAGAGATGCCATGGATGAGTTCAAATACAAAGATGGGAATTTTCAATTCAAATGTTGCCTGACCACAAACCAATGTAGGTCAGTGAGCACAGGTGTGCTAGGGGAAAGTGAATTGCTCTGAGTTAAGACACTATGAAGGTAATTAGCCATGCATGGTTCATGGAACCTTAGGTATCTCTCTCCTTTAGAGAATTAAATAACTGCCCTGTTTCCCACATTACAACCAGGACTACACTTCAAAGTACTTAATTGTCTGCAACATACTTTAAGACACACTGAAGTCATGGAAGGCACTATATAAATGCAAATCTTTCTTCTGTTCTGTATTCCTGAACAAATACATCACAATTTTCCATGAGAAATGACTTCACTGCCTCAAAGGAAAAATCTACTACTCTTTGGTCAAAGACTGTAATGTTAGATGCTTAATCTGAGAGTATCCATTCTAAAATCTATTTTTATCTTGAACAAACTTAATACATTTCAAATGGTTCAATCTATGGTTCCTAATTTGGCTAATTTGCAACATGCAAATCATCTCCATTAATTGCTGCCTTTCAAAAGTCTCAACCTAATTATGCTCCTCGTTGAATCAATTGTTCCAGCAATCAAAACCTTCAGCAAATTTAAAACCCAAAATGGGACTTTTACCTGCCAACTGTTTTTCCTTGCCCTATTTTGCCCTTTGCCTTAGATACTAATACTGATATTCTGAACCAGAATGATGTCCCCATCCAAAATCCAACTATACACTTCTTGGTAATCTCCATGCATTTCACACCTTGTACTCTTAGCCTATAATCCAAGTATTCCATTTATGAAACCTACAGGGGTAAGGTAAATTCACATGTCACTGGTTTTCAATTAAGTTTTCTTGTCATACTAAAACTAGTTCAGCAGATAACAGTAAAATTTATAAAATACCAGTTACAGATGGATTTGAACTGCAAATCAATAAGATAACTAGTACCTATGGACACTAATTTGATTCAGAAAGTGTAAGCTATTTTATTACCTACGACATTTAGCACCTGACAGGTGAAATCTCTGCCAGTGATTACTGAAGACAGCAACAGTAGGAGATGGAAACTCAGGCTACATATAGTTAACTGCATTGTAAAAATGATTTAAATGGACTTTTATTCTAAATAAAAGAGCCCAGTTAAGCATTGTTTTCATAAATAGTCAATAGAAAACTAAGACTGAAAAGGATACCATATTGATTTGATTTGATTTGGTTTATTGTTGTCACATGTACCAAAATACAGTAAAAAGTATTGTTTTGCACGCTCTACAGGCAGATCCTACATACAACGTGCATCAGGTAACAGAACAGAGTGCAGAATATAGCATAACAGCTGCAAAGAAGGTGCAGAGAGAGATCAATATTAAATTTTCAGAGGTCCGTTCAAAAGTCTGAAAACACCAGAAAGATGCTGTTCTTGAATTTGTTCATAGGTGTATTCAAACTTTTATATCTTGTGCCGGATAGAAGAGGGTGAAAGAGAGTATAACCAGGGTGGGAGGGCCTTTGATTACATTGGTTGCTTTCCCAAGGCTGTGGAAAGCATGGATGGAGTCAACAGAATGGAAGGCTGGTTTGCGTGATGGACTGGGCTGTGTTCACAAAGAAGAGCATGCTGTGATGCATCCAGATAGAATTCTTTCAATCATGCAACTATAAAAATGGATAAGAATCTTTGTGGATATGCTGAATTTCCTTAGCTTCCTGAGGAAGCAGAAGCGTTGTTGTGCTTTCTCGACTATCGTGTCAATGTGGGTGCACCAGGACAGACTGTTCGTGATCTTCACTCCCAGGAACTTGACGCTCTCGACCATCTCCACCTCAGCACCATTGATGCAGACAGGGGTGTGCACTCCACTCAGCTTCCTGAAGTCAATGACCAGCTCCTTTGTTTTGCTGACGTTGATGGAGAGATTGTTGTCTTTACACCATGCCACTAAGCACTCTACCTCTTTCCTGTATCCTGTCATGTCATTATTTGAGACCCAACCTACAACGGTGGTGTCGTCAGTAAATTTGTAAATGGATCTGAGTGCACGGCTACGGACTCCATCCGGGCCAGACGCTTTCTATGGCTTCACTCTCAACAAGGCCAATCTAATGTTTGCAGCAGTGGCCGTGGGGCCAGGTACACCCATGGCTGTTGGGACAGATGACATCGTTCAAAGCGAGCGTAGAATAGAATAGAACAGAGTGCAGAATACAGTATAACAGCTGCAAAGAAGGTGCAGAGAGAGATCAATATTAAATTTTCAGAGGTCCGTTCAAAAGTCTGAAAACACCGGAAAGATGCTGTTCTTGAATTTGTTCATAGGTGTATTCAAACTTTTATATCTTCTGCCGGATAGAAGAGGGTGAGTTCATCAGTTCGGCACATATTGTTGCCCGTAATTCTGTCTGACTTTGCTTTGTAGCCCATTATGTAATGTAAGCCTTGCCGCAAATGACTGGTGTCCTTGAGGTTAGTCTGGGTCTCAAGCTTAGTTTGGCGTCTCTGATGGCAGACTTGTTGCAAAATCTACATTCTTAATGTGTAGAATTGGTCTTGAGGTACCAGAGAAACCTTGGGGATCTGTCAGTGGACAAAATATATGAACAAACTAAAACTATTAATTTAAAATAAAAACAGACAGTCCTAGAGAAACCCAGCAGATCTGGCAGCATCTTTGCAGAAAGATGTGGAATTAACTTTGCAAGTATGAGATGAGTTCCAGAGAAGAACCTTTGAGAGTCAAAACATTAAAACAGATAAATAAAGGGGAAATAGAGGATATAATACATTGGTTTTTTTGGAAGGTGTTAACATATGTAAACTACATAATAAGATATGAGCATATATGTTTGGGGTAGTATATTAGTTTGGATAGAGGATTTATTAAATAATGAAGGACAGTTGGGATAAGGGGGACATTTTCAGGATGGTAACTGTAGCTAGCGCAGTGTCAGAAGTATCAGTACTAGAGTCACAATTATTTACAATACATATTCATGAGAGATAAGGAAGGTGAATGTACTATCACCAAATTTGTGGATAATATAAGAATAGGTGGGAAGGCAATTGGTGAGGATTTCACAAACAGTCTGCAGAGAGATATAGACAAGTTAAGCAAGTAGGCAAAGACTTGGCAGATTGAATATAATGTGAGAAAACATGAGGTTATCCACTTTGGCAGAAAGAATAGAGAAGATGATATGATTTAAATGGGGAAAGACTGCAGAAACTGCAGCACAGGTAGATTTGGGAGCCCTCATGCATAGCAAACATCCAAGTTCAGCAGGTAATAGGGAAGGCAATGGGTAGTTGGCCTTTATTTCAAAAGGAATGGAGTATAAAGATAGGGAGGATTTGCTGAAACTATACAAGGCACTAATTGGACCACACCTAGAATATTGGTCTTTTTATCTAAACTATACCAACATTGGAAGCAGTCCAGAGAAGGTTCACTAGGTTGATCCTGGGCATGGAAGGGCTGTCAATGAATAGGCAACAAAGTTGAAAGGAATTTGAATATGTTTTAATAGCCTTATAAAGTTCATTGCGTAGAATGGGTACCAGAGGATACTGTTTTAGATATTTTCAGGGATAATATTACCCACCTCTGGAGCTGGTTGAATAGATTGGGCCTATTGTCACTGGAATTTAGAAGAATGAGAGGTGACCTTATTGAAATATTCAAGATTCTTAGGGGGTTTTACAGGGTACATGTGAAGAGGTTGTTTCCCTTGTGGGAGATCTAAGACCAGAGGATTAAGGAGTTGCCAGTTAGGACAGAGATGAGGAAGAATCTTGACTCTCAAATCTTTGGAATTCTTTACTGCAGAGGGCTGTAGAAGCTGGATTGTTAAGAATATTCAAAGTTGAGATAGACAGATTTTTAGTCAGTAAGGGGATCAAAGGTTAAGGGGAAAAGGCAGAAAAGTGGAGTTGAGGATTATCAGAACAGCTACATTGCCCATTGAATAGCAGAGAGGACTCGATGGGCTGAATGGCCTACTTCTGCCCCATTTCTTACAATCGTTTGCTGCCAGACTTGCTGATTTTCTCCAGCACTTTGTTTTTATTTCAAATCTCCAGCATCCATAATCTTTTGATTATAGTTAAGATACTGCTTGACCTTCTCCTTAGCTAATAAACAATGTAAGCCACCCTTTCCATTTCATCCCAAGGATCAATTTTAGAAAGTTTCATCTTGTTGAATTTCTTACAACTTTTTTTCCATACCATACACAATTTCCAAGTTAAAAGATGCCAAGTGACCTATTTCTACATATCTAACTATCAGATGCCAAACAGCAGTCCAAGGTAGCCTGTCTTCAATTGTTTTCCTCCCTCAATGGGTAAATCCAGTGTCTCCTTTTGGCATTTATTCCAGTATCATTTGATCAATAATAGGTTGTTACAAAGATCTGACAACTTGTGGCACACCCGCTTGTTAACTGCTTTAAAAGACTTAAAAGAAGAAAATTCTAAAATGCTAACTTCAAACATAACTTCACAGAAGTTAGAATTTAGCACCATCAAAACTTTTCAGTAACATAATGGACCATTAGGAAAGTGGAATGTAAGCTGCTACAGTTCTCTTCAACTTCTAATTCAAATTAAATTGCTTACAGGTATACGGGGTTAGTGTTTGCCAGCTGGATGAGGTTTGTTTGCGTTGGTGTGACAGCTGCCAAGATATCTTGTTCTAAAGCCATTGGAAGCACAGCATAACCACAGTAATCAATGTGTTCACCTACAAGAGATATAAATGATTAAAATTATTTTTATTCATGCATGCCTTTTAAGTGGATAAGTACATTTTAAATTTTATAAACTTACTGAAATAAATAGTTAAGAAGTTACATAAATCATGAAGTTATAGAAACATGTACTCAAAACAAAAACTTCAAAGTATGGCATCTATACTGACGAGACTCCATTAGTTACAGAATAATATTGAAAGGGAATATTTTCTCAGCTCAATTTTCTCTATTTTCTGTCAATACTGAGCCATAATGATTTTGTAAATGATTTGGATGCAGGAGTGGAAGGGTGGATTAGTAAATTCGCTGACGATACGAAGGTGGGTCGAGTTGTGGATAGTGCAGAGGACTGTTCTAGGTTACAAAGGGACATTGATAGGATGCAGAGCTGGGCTGAGAAGTGGCAGATGGAGTTTAACTCTGAAAAGTGTGAGGTGATTCATTTTGGAAGGACAAATGTGAAAGCAGAATACAGGGTTAACGGAAAGATTCTTGGCAGTGTGGAGGAGCAAAGGAATCTTGGGGGCTCATGTCCACAGTTCCCTGAAAGCTGCCACTCAGGTGGATAGAGTTGGTAAGAAGGCGTATGGTGTGTTAGCTTTCATTAATAGAGGGATTGAGTTCAAGAAGTTATGCTCCAGCTACACAAAAGCCTGGTTCAGCCACATCTGGAGTATTGTGTCCAGTTCTGGTCGCCTCATTACCAGGAAAGATGTGGAAGCGTTGGAAAAGGTGCAGAGGAGATTTACCAGGATGTTGCCTGAAATGGAGGGAAGGTCTTATGAGGAAAGGTTGAGACAGCTAGGGCTTTTCTCTTTAGAATGACAAAGGATGAGAGGTGACTTAATAGAGGTATACAAAATGATCAGAGGTATAGATAGAGTGGACAGCAGAGACTTTTTCCTACGGTGGAGGTAGCTATTACGAGGGGGCATAGTTTTAAAGTGAGTGGAGGCAGATATAGGGGAGACGTCAGAGGTAGGTTCTTTACTCAGGGAGTGGTAGGAGAGTGGAATGCATTGCCGGAGAGGGTAGTGGAGTCAGCTTCATTAGGGGCATTTAAGCGGCTATTAGATAGGCATATGGATGATAGTATAAGGTAGGGATGGAGGTTAGATAGACCTTAGGTTTAGGGTAAAAGGTCGGCACAACATCGCGGGCTGAAGGGCCTGTACTGTGCTGTACTGTTTTATGTTCTATAATGGAGTATTCACATATACAACAGCATCTTTGGACTCTTTGGTGCAATGATAGTGTCCTTACCTTTGAGCCAGGAGGTCAAAATTCAAGTCCCGCCAGCTCCAGAGATGGGTAACAATATCTGAAAATATCTAAGACAGTATCCTCTGGTACCCATTCTATGCCATGAACTTTATAAGGCTATTAAATCATATTCAAATTTCTTTCAAATTTGTTGCTGATTCATACTTTCCTGGCATGGAAGTGCTGATGTCAATTCGGAAGCAACAATATTACTTAAAGTGAAATTATCCAATAGATACCAAACAAAGAATCAAATCTTTATCTCTATGGATAGAACAGTAGTGGCGGTATTTGCACACTAAATTATTGTCTGAGTGGTAAAGGGAACTCAATTTTAACTGTTTTGACCAACAACAATTGGATCGTAATCAAAATGTCCCACTGTTGAGTATATATTGCTCTAATTTGAAATGTTGGTCCTATAATGAGCTTTATACACACAGCACTGCATATTACAGATAATAGTATTTAATTCAATCCATATTAATTGTCATTGTGGGTCAAAGTTGTTTGTGACAGTCTGACTCCCTTTTTCAATAAATGGAATAGAATGTTCTTGAGAATTTATATTGTACTACAGCCTTCAAAGCAATCATAAACAGTTCAAAGATTGTCTTGTAAAGAATCAACAGTATATTAATTTAAAGTTAATGTTAAATGTGCGAAACAAAATTTGTTTAATTCAGCATGTCATCAATGTTAGCTCAATGCTAACCCTTTACCTCAGAGTCATAGAGCTCAAACTACATTCCAGGACCTGAACACACAACGTAAACTGATATTTCAGCGCAGCACTGTGAAAGCAATGTTTTGTTGGAGGTATTGACAGGTTAAACCGAGCTCATGTCTACTTTAGGCTGCGAAGATTGTCATAAGCAATAATATGGGCGTACAGGGCAGTTATCCTAGTATCATTGAGCTAACATTGATGACACGCTGAATTAAACAAATTTTGTTTCGCACATTTAACATGCTCAACTCTCAATGACCACCACTATCTGATCATTTCTCTCATCACTGTCTGTAGGAACTGTCATGTTCTCCTATATTACAACAAAGACCATACCTTATATGTATTTAATTGGTTGTAAAATGCTTTAAAAAAAAACCCGAGGTTATAAAAAGAACTGTACAGATGCAATTCTTTCTTATCACCTATAAGTATTTCACTAGATTTTTCCTTAGTGCATTCTCTATACTTAACACATATGCCATATTCAAGTAATAATTTATTGAAAATATATACTGGTCAGACAAGCCTCTGGCGTCAACCATTTACAAATTTCATTAACTGTTTTGTTTACTTTGGCTCCCTGGTTCTTTCAAAATATTTCCTTTTAAACAGCATGTACTGGGAAATAGTTTGGCAGTTTTACTAAGCCTGACACAACAGTATAGTCCTGCCAATTCCAGCTAATATTAAGGTAAGCAAGTTGGTGGTCTTGCATCATTTAGCTTTGCATTAATGGCAAATGCAAAGTTTTGAAATAGAGAGTTATTTCTATATGCTCTCACATAATAATTATGGTTCTAACTAAGGTCATTTTCCATTTCAAGTTTGTTACCTTATTTTCTTGCAGTTAATAATAATTTTAAATAATTAATTTTCATGGAAAACTTGAAACCTTCCCTTTCATCAGGGCTCACGCACACTTTCATTTGTCCAGTTATCTCTTCTTAGTCTGCAGAAATCTCTTTAAGGAAACTAACTAAGTTCACAGTGTTGAAATGAAAGATTTTGATGAACAAAAAGCTACTAGAAATCTAAAACAAAAATATAAACTGCAATAAATATCCAGGGGGCACAATGGTATCTGTGGAGACAGCAGTCATTAATATGACTGCATTTATTGGTTCTGAAATAATTAAAATTTAGATAGTAACCAAATGCGAAGGATGCAAATTCATCCACCAGTAAGGATCCAGAGAATGTTCACCTCCTGCACAAACTCATCTCACTGAACACACTCGATTCACAATACCTACTCCTATTTTTATTAAGAGCAAGCTAAAGTTAAAGCCTGGAGAAATTAAAATCAACATTAAAGATTGAGGACTGGACAGTGCTAGAGGGAAAGTACTCCTGCCTCATCTTTATATCCGCTCACCCATTAATCATCATGTCTTTTACTTTTGGTGTATTACAGGTCATTTTTCCCATGCTTACTGTTCCTATTTATTTTTGCTTTTCCTTCACATTCCTGATTTCCTTTTTAAAAGACGCTTATTCTTTCAATTTCAATGGCAAGTCCCAACCAAATGTCGATTTAGCTGTTCTCTCCAGACATTTTGTTTTTGAAATCGAAGCAATGTTGAATTAATGATTGCATGTCTTCTGCTTGTTCAGTCACTGCTTGATTACTAAGCTAGTAGCCAATGTTGTTGAAAGTACCCTTTGTGTAAAAACAGAAAGTTCAATTCACTTTGTCAAAAGAGCCTCAAAAGGCCACAGAAATATGTGGCTACAGAGATGCACCATATCTCCCTTAAATAAGTCAAATCATGCTCCTGACTGAATGCATGAATGTAACTGAGACAAGTGCGGATGCAGCAATGTGTCATAATGTTTATTTATTTTAATATTCCACAATTTCCGAATTATTTACAACATTATATACTGATGTGGTGAAGTTGTTCATCAACTTTCACAGACAGTCCGTACAGAAAGACATTATTGAAATAAAATGCCTTAGAATACTGAAGTTGAAACATACAGTTTTAAATTAAAACAGATAAGTAAATTGGCTAGAGATAATCCTATCCCAAAGTAATACCAGATATTAAAGGAACACCTTTATAAAAAATAATCCATAGTACATTCTAACTTCATTAACATACCAATTAAATTGACTCGTCCAGGAGCTCGTGCATAAAATGCAGGTGGGGCACCATATTTCGATATAAATGCTTTTTTTAGTTTCATAAACCTGAAGAGACAAAATTGAATGTAAAGTGTAAATGATTGCTGCATTACACAGGAGGGAGAAAATCACCAATCTGAAATTTAATAATATTCTCTCACCTTCAAACTTAAAAAAAAGTGATCAATATCAAACGATGAGCACATACTTAAAAAAAAACAAATGAGACAGAACACAAAACTTTTAATCAAAGGCATGCTCAACTCGAACTCATTCCTTGGTCACCTGTTGTCATTTAGACCAGAAATCAGTATTTGTAAACCCACACCCATGAAGAACATCCATGTTTTTCTGTTGAAAGGATGTTGGCTTGGTTTCTACTGCTGTTAGAAAGCATTTACCAGAACTGTTGCACTGGGTAGCTGAGAATTTTGTCACACCTTTCCAGAGATGAATATTCTAAATTATTGCGAGAATCTTTGAAACAGCAAATATTTACAGAGTGTTGTGTTGAGGTACAAAGCTCGGATGAAAAATACCAATGGTAATTTGTCACACAAATAGAAATCCCATTTAATTCTGGTACGTGGTAAGATTTTTTTCATAAATCCATAAGAAATCTGATGAAACTTATTCACCCAGAACGTGCTAAGAATGGACAACAGAGTAGTTCAGACAAATAACACTGATGTACTGAATTTTCAGGGCTAGATGTGCATCTATGGAGTAAGGTTTGCAAAATACCATGACCCCACTGTTATATCTGCAGGACTGGTGTTTTTGGAGCAGGAATCAGGCCTCAAAAATTGGTCAATTAGGCCATTAACACCAATTTAAATGAAAATTAAAAAGGGCCTTGCAGTTGTTAAGACTGATTCACATCTCAGTAGCAGCCATCAAGACCTTGGTTTGTCAGCTTTTAGATGTTTAAATTTCTCTGTTGATATTTATTAATACAAGTTCCTCACTCTTTTTAGCCCCTTAGTTATCCTCTATTTCTAAGACTTAATATCAATCTTCTACTGTCAAGACAGAGAGATGTTTGTTCAATATCTCTGTCTTTTTTTTATTCTCCTTGATAATTTGTCCTGTCTCTGCCTCTAATCAACCAATGCATATATTTTAGTCACTGTCATCCAACTTTTTATATACTTGCTAAAGCTCTTACAACTGTTCTTAATATTTTTGATTAGATTATTCTCATGTTTCTATTTCTTTCCTTTTATCAACTTTTAGTCATCCTTTGTTAGTTTCTAAATAACCATATATCCTCAGGCTTACAGTTCATTGCAATATTATAAGCCTCTTTTAATCTATCCTTACCTTCTCTTTTAATGTATCCTTAGCCAGTTCTCCTCCCCTGGTACTTGAGTGATTGGCTTTAAGATACTTGTTTGGAACTGGACTACATCACTTAGAATCATAGAATCCCTAAAGTGTGGAAATAGGCCATTTGGCCCATCAAGTCCGCACCAACCCTCCAAAGAGCATCCCCACCCAGACCTCCAGCCCATCCCATAAGCCCGTATTTACTATAGCTAATTCCCCTAGCCTGCGCATCCCTAGACACTACGGACAATTTTGCATGGCCAATACAACTAACTTGCACATCTTTGGACTGTGGGAGGAAGCCAGATCATCTGGCAGAAACTCACGCAGACATGGGGAGAATTTGCCAACTCCACACAGTCACCCAAGGCTGGAATCAAACCAGGTCCTTGGCATTGTGAGGCAGCAGTGCTAAACACTGCCGCACCTTGCCATCCATTGAAAACATAATATCGTATTCAATTATATCTTAAAACCCTTTTCTAAAAGGATATTTTACCATGAGGTAATCAATTCAGCCTGCTCATTCCACAGTGTTAGATCTAATTTATTTCTTGTTGATCTAACAATGCATTTTTTCTAGGAGACTGTCAAAAAGCATCTTACTAACTTATCTTCCAGCTACTTTTGCTAATTTGATTTGTCCAGTCTATAGGAAGATGATAGTCTCCCATTATTATTACATTGCCTTTGTCACAAACTCCAATTGTAATCTCTTAATGCTTTGTTCAATGGTATATCTACTGGGTAGGGGTCCCCTCTTAAGGTATTACCTCTAGAGTTTACTGACTCCTGTGATTCCCAAGCTCCATTCACCACAGATTCTACTTGCTGATTTTCTGAGCCAAAATCCTTTCTCATTACCATCCATTAGTCATCCTCAACTATCAGGGCTGCTCCTCCATTTCCTTTCAGTCTATTTTCAAAGTGTTCTGCACCTTGGAATACTTACTTCCCAACCTTGGTCATCATGTAACACATTTCCGTGACAATGATTTGGATCCAAACCACTTCTCTCAGTGCTGCTGGTTCAACTATCTTTTAACAAATATTTTGCCAAGGTTTCTGCAATAATAATTCTACCACCAAAAGCATTCAAGGGCAGAAGACAGATAGGAGCAGCAAAACCTCCAAGTCACTCTACAAGTCTCCATACCAGTTCACTTATTTTACTGTTCCTTCTTCGTGAAGTTAAAACATTGGAATTCCGTCAGTACCTTTTTGAGGGTAACTATGGAAAGGAAATTGCCAGACATGTCCATGCCAGAATTAAGTCTTTTTTACACGAGTCTCACCATTGTTTTTAATGGGGACAGAACCATATTGATTAGTTGTTCAACTATTTCACCAAGATCTATTCACAGGCCATCACCAAAGTCCCAGCAAATTGTGACGTAGATGCAGATATTGCATCCTAGCAGTTCTGCACCATTATAAATTGCAAATCTTGGAAGGATTTCAATAAATTCAGGTCCAACTGCCTCAGACATAGACCCCCTGCTTCTGAAGATATTGAATCTAAGCAGACATTGGGTGAAAAGGAGTGAAAGTATCATTAAGTATACCACTATTAGTATGTTTTAAATGATCCTGCATTGAAAGCATAATTTCTCTTGTACATATTTATACATTTTTTATTTCAATTAAATAAAAGTATTTTCTTGTATTTAAACTTTGTATTTTTCTTGTATTTAGTTAACTTATTTTGACAATTTTGAACTGGAATATTGCCATCCATGAGACTGGCAACATTCCTTTGCAACTTCTTTAAAGTTGAACATGTCAAGCAATCCGACAGTCTCACTCATTTTATGTTCTGCTTTCATATGACAGATGATAACACAAAATGAGTAAAAAACAACAAGATGTAAATGGAATACTATTCATGGATTGCATTCCCCCTAACTAATCTGGGGGAATAGTCATGAGGAGCAGCACCTCTGAAGAACAATCAACCTCAACATGGCATTTCAAATTGAGCCCGACTATATACTACCAAATAAGAGTGAGTTGGAAGTGTGGCTGTTATAGCGCAGTGGTAGCATGCCTACCTCTGAGCCAGAAGACTCCAGTTCAAGTTCCACCTGTTCCAGAGGTGTGTAATAACCTAAAGATGTTGATAATAAAATGTGTGAAGCAATATGTTTGGGAGGACTAGCAAGGAGAAGAAGTAGACATTGAATTGTAGGGTCCAAGGGATTAGAGGGTCAGAGAGACTTTGGTGTGCATGACCATAGATCCTTGAAGGCAACACAGGTAGATAAGGTGGTTAAGAAGGCATATAGAATACTTCCTTTATTAGACAAGAGGATGAATACAAGATGAAAGAGGTTATGATTGAGCTGTATATAATGTTAGTTGGGTCACAGCTGAAGCACTGTGTGCAGTTCTAGCCACCAGATTTGATTGCACTGGAGACGATGAGGAAGAAGTTCCCAGGCTGTTGCCTGAGCTGGTGCAATTCAGCTATGATTCGTAGGTATGGTTAGTAAGTTTTCAAATGACACCAAAATAGATGGTGTTGTGGACAGTGAAGAGAAATATATCAGAGTACACAGGATCTTGATCAGATGGGCCAGTAGGCTGAGGAGTGGCAGATAGAGTTTAACAAACATGAGGTGTTGCATTTTGGTAAGGCAAACCAGGACAGGACTTATGCAGCTAACATTAGGGCCCTGGGGAGTGTTGCCATACAAAGAGACCTAGGGGTGCAGGTTCTCAGTCCCTTGAAATTGAAGTCGCAGTTGAAAAAAGGCATTTGTCACGCTTGCCTTTATTGGTCAGTGCACTGAGCTGTGAAGTTGGGGCATAATGTTGCAGTCGTACAGGACATTGGTGAAGCCACTTTTGGAATACTTCATACAATTCTGGTCACTCTTATGTAGGAAAGTGATTGTTAAATTTGAGAGGGTGCAAAAATGATTTACAAGAATGTTGCAGGACTGGAGGGTTTGAATTATAAGACAAGGCTGAAAAGACTGGGGCTTTTCTCCCCTGGAGCATTGGAGACTGAGAAGTGACCTTATTAAGGTTTATAAAATCACAAGGGTATGAATAGGATGATTAGCGAAGGTCTTTTTCCTAGGGTGAGAGTCCAAAACTAGAGTCTAAGTCATCCACACTGACCAGACATCCCAAATGTGACCTAGTCCTAGTTGGCCCGTGTCCCTCTAAACCCTTTCTATTCATATACTCAGATGCCTTTTAAATGTTGTCATTGCAGCCACCTCCACCACTTGCTCTGGCAGCGCTTTCCATACACACACCACCCTTTGCATGAAAATGTTACCTCAGGTCTTTTTTAAACCTTCCCCTCTCACCTTAAATTTGTACCTTCTATTTTTGGACACCCTCCCCCAACCAACCAACCAACCAACCACAGGGAAAAGCCTGGCTATTCATCCTACCCACACCTCCTCATGATTTTATAAAACTATAAGGTCATCCCTCAGCCTTGAGCACTCCAAGCAAAACAAAAAGCCCCAGCCTATTCAGCCTCTCCTAACTCAAACTCTCCAGTCCCAGCAACATGCTCGTAAATCTCTTCTGCACTCTCTCAAATTCAACAACACCCTTCCCCTAGAAGGCCGACTATGAAGAAGTCCTTGACCAAACCTAATCAGTGTATTAGATGGTAAAGGCTTGTCCTTAAGTGTACGGTTTGATCACGGAGCAGCAAAAAATGTATCCAGGAGAAAATTGGCTGGGCACCGAAGGAAAGCAGGGTGGTCAGCCAATTTTGTCCTGGAGACGTTTTTCGCTGCGCCATAGTCAAATAATAAGCAGTTAAATGGGTTTGGCTTGTCCCGTGACGACACTCGTGATTCCCGTTGACGTGCAATTTTCGCACAAGGGAAACCTGATGAACAACTACAAACATTTAAGCGGCTAGTTATGAAGGGAGAAAAATGAACTGAATCGGACTGTTTGGATTACACACTAGGGCAATCATGAAAAAGGTGTATTGAGAATTTTGCTACTTTCATGATATAATACTTCAAGTTCAAAATAATTCAAGTACAGTGATAATAAAACGTACGCGGTCCATCAAATAAGTTAATCAAAGCGATTGAATTGATCCGATGTCCTTGACCGCCTAAGTTTAAAAAAACTCGGTGGCTATCGATTTATTAGCAACACGTTACGCTGTTGTATGTTTTGTCCAAGATTGTGAACAGTGTCTTTTGAAAAACTCAACGTGGGGAGACAATACGACACCTGTTGTTATCGGTTCCAGTTTCAGATTAGCAAGTAAAAAGGAGAAAATTTGAGCATCACCTCACGACTCAGTTTTATTTTGTTTAGAAACTATCAACCCATCACCGAATCTCAGGATTTGTGACCAAACACCGACAGTCTTTGTAAAAAGCGACGGGAAAAGCTGCAAAAGTGCCTGCTACCTTTCACTATCTGCCACCAATACCAGCTCCTGGGGAGGGGGCGTCTTATCCACCATTCTTCCTCAGATACCCTTTCCCTGGATCTATTGCTGGAAATAAACCGAATGCTGGGCGCCTGTAGCACCTCCAGAGACTACCAGTTCCGCCTGTCACGGATATCCTGCCAACATCCCAACAACCCTCACTCACGATGCAATAGAACAACCTCAAGTGTTCCTCGACGAGACAGGGAAGGAGAGATAACTTATAAACAAATGCATCCGTCACACAAGTGATATAAAATGTAACGGCTCCCATTAAAACCCTTACCCAGGCCCATTAACAGCACTTTCTTCCCTCCCAACACCTTAGCAACCATAACTATGCAACTTGTACACTTGGTTGCTACGAACGAGTGTCCCATCCAATCTCTTCCCCACCCCAGCTCCGTTGCTGGGTACGAGTGTCGCACAGAATAACCTCCCCGGCCACTCAAATTGAAAACCGCGCGGAATTGTGGGACTCGTAACACAAAAAAAAACTACTTCCAAGATGTCTGACATGGAGGATGATTTTATGTGCGATGATGAGGAAGACTATGACTTGGTATTGCTTTTAATATCGTGATTCTACATAACCGATTTGGACTGTTTGTTTTGCATTGCCCAAAGATTATGTTTGCCACTGTTCAGGGGTTTTTTGATGTAGTTTAAGCCGCGTCCCCGTCCCGGAGTAGGGACATTGGCAGCTATGAGTGAGCCATCCCTGGCTTTCGACTGTAGGTAGTTGGTAGCAGAATATCCGCACAGGCGGAAACCCTGTTAATTGTATAAGGTTTAAACGCATCTTTTTGAAACACTTTCACTCCGGGTTACATTTTAGGTCGTAGATCCAAGTTGTGTGGTAACCTGACGAAGTGGGCCTAATAACACTCGGTCAGGTCGAAACACGTTGGGCCTGATCTGTAGAAACCCACCATTTTCAAATTATCCTCTTGTATCCACTTTAAAAGTTCTGTTAAAGATTTAACAAAAGTAATAGCGTTTCAGTTATGTAGTCCCTAATACGAAAATAGAGAGTTTCAAAACGGGCGGTTTAGGACTTCATAATTTGTCTTGATATATTGTGCTAACGCAATGCAATTATCTCTGAGCACTGCTACTGTTCACTGGATTAATGTGGCAGTATTTTTATATCTACATGTGACGTGAGTGTTGCTGGGAAGGCCAGCACTTCTTGCCCATCCCTCACTACTCTAGAACTGAATGGTTTGCTTGGTGACTTCAAAAGGCAGTGAACAGTCAGCTACGTTGCTGTGGGTCTGGAACCAAATGAAGGCCAGATTGGGTGAAGGTAGCAGATTCCCTTTCCTAAAAGATGTTGTGATCCAGTTATTCTTTTACAACAATCCATGATAATTAACTAGCTATGTTCCACATTTTATTAAGTGAACTTAAATTCCACCAGCTGTTGAGGGAAGATTTGAACCCATATCCCAAGAGCTTGAGCGTGGGGTTCTGGGTTGTAGTGCCATTACTAATATACCACCATTTCCCCATTGTTATTGATATTTTTGCGGGGAGAGTATTATTGCCGGACCGTTAATCCAGACCCCCAGATAACATTCTGGAGACCCAGGTTCAAATCCCACCATGATAGATGGTGGGATTTGAATTCAATAAACATCTGGGATTAAGAATCTAATGATGACTGTGAATCCATTGCCGATTGTTGGAAAAACCCATCTGGTTCACTAATGTCCTTTAGGGAAGGAAACTGCCATCCTTAGCTAGCCTGACCTACATGTGATTCCAGACCCATAGCAATATGGTTGACTTTCAACTGCCTGATAGGCAAAAAATGCTGCCTAGTCAGCAATGCCCTCATCCCTGAATGCGTACAGAAAAAAAGTTAAACTAGGTAACCTCTATTTGTACTAATAAATGAAGAGTTTTGTTTATTAAATGTTTGTTTGTGTGCATAAGCTAGTTACCCAAGTGTGAGCTTGGAACATTCTTTGAAACTAAAATTATGTGCTGAAAAGTGTAAAATAAAATGTATTCTGAACTAAAAATAGATATTCAGTAAAATCTCAATAAATTGCATTGCAGGGGGGCCAATTCACAAGTTTTAAGCAGAACTTCAAGATGGGTGAGGAAGTCCCTATGCAACCATATTTGCCATAAATGACTACAGCGCAGTGAAAGGCCTTTCAGCCCTTTGAGTCTTAGATTGTGTTGTATTTCAAAATAAAAGAAGTTAAAACAGTGACACAGTAAATACATGAAAAATCATTTCATTTTTAAAATTGTTTACACCTTACGATGACCTGACTTTGAACGTAAAAGACATTGAAAAACCATGAGAATTAGTGCAAGAGAAATCTTTTCTTGCTTAGCTTACTGTCTTTGTACAAGATTGCCATGTGTTCATTGCTTTCAACCAAGTTTTTCTATGTTTCTGTGCTGCGATGGTGTAATCCCGGAGCATGTCTACACCATTGCGGCTTCAGCTAGGGAAATGTGCGGGTGAGTGAATAGGCATTCATTGGACTCTTCAGGGATGATTTTCCTTTTTCTTCGTTGTTACGTTTTGTCTGTTTTCTGTATCACATCTCAGCAGTGTTCAGGGTCATCCAGGTGGCTTTGTTAACCTCATACAATGTGGCTAGTGTCTTGATATTTGCAAAGCAATGTGACTTCTTGAACTCTCCAGTCATAAGTGTCAGTTTAACAGCATCTTGCATGTTCGCACAGCCCAGAGCGGTTACATATTCTTTGCTTTCTGCCACTACACATTTTCTTTTTAAACATTAAAGAGTGATCTAGTAAAACATGGTAAAGCAGTCCTGTTTAACATTCACATTAATAAAGTCTTGGTGTAAACTTGTTCAGTGCATGACCAAGATCATTTTGCAGACATCACTGCAGCCTTGTCCGTAATTTTGTTCTCTGATGTTGCTTAACTCTGCTCCACTTGGTTGGAGCAATCATATGACAAGTATGCATGAGTTAATCCGGAGTTACCAGTATGGAAATTTGGTTTGTCACAAAATCCTTCTCTTGGATTTCCAGTTTTTCTGGTGGAGATGGTCGGCAGTTTCGCCGAACCTGGACTTTTGGGTTATTTCTATTTAACTCATTGCAATTTCATTTTAATTTGCTTTCAATAAAGTGCCATAAAGTCAAGGAATTGAATTTGGAAAAAATTTACAGATTATGTTAATCAGAATGATTCAGCCCATCTTTTTCTATTTGTCTTACGTAAATATAATATGGGTCTGAATATAGTTGAACCACAGGCAGTACTATTTCCAGTTTTGTTATTCGGTTTTGGGATGAATACACTGAACGTATTATCCAAAATGGTGAATTACCTTCTTTAAATTGTTTCCAGCACTACAGCCACAACGACAGTCATGTAATCATTCAAATTCTATTCTAGTGTTACATGGTTCAAAATGTTGTCCAGACACAACTCAAGTTTAAAGGATATAATCGGTAATTTTTTATTACAGATGATTTTCATGATTCAGGTAGACATCGATGGAATCTTAATACAACCATTTTAAGTTCTAAAATGTCAGTGACAATACTGGTAGCTATTTCTAACTGAATGGCATGTAAAACTAATCTGCAAGATTAATTTTTTGAGTCCGGTGACTCTTCATCAGAACTTATGAACTGTTCTAATGAAGAGTCACTGGACTTGAAATGTTAACTCTGCTTTCTTGATATGGATGCTGATAGACTGGCTGAGTTTCTCCAGCAATTTCTGTTTTTGTTCCAGGTCTCCAACATCTGCCATTTTTTGCTTTATTATAGTCTGCAAGGTGTTCTGAAAGGCATGAGGATCATTTTACTGAACCAGCAATTTACAATACTTGGACAAGTGTATAGGGACAAGCATATTTATCAGTTATGCTTTGAGAGTTAATCTAAGGATAGAATAATACAGCATGAAAGAGGACCATTTGGCTTATCAAATCTGTTCTTTTTTTTTCAAAGAAGAATCTAGCTAATCTTGCTCCCAACTCATGCCTGCTGCTTTTAAATGGGCTTTCATTTTAACCTGGATTGACTTTTCATTTTGTGACATAAAATGTGAGGATTACAGCTGCTAAATCATCAATAAACATTTAATGGATGGACATTGTGAAGATGCTGAATTTATCAGTGACGATATAATCGTTAATGTGGTGTGATTCTATAGTCCTGTTGTCTGAGCTACTGTCGTTAATTTGATGCTCCATTCCTATTTGTGTCCCTGAAGTCACCTTTCACAGGCTATTTGTACGTATACTCGGAAATCAAATTTGTTATTTTAAATTTTCTGGAAAGGTATGATCTACTATAGCACAAGCCATACTGTTGAAACATAAGTATACTGAATGATAATTTCACATTGCCGTAACACTAAGTTTTTCAGCTTTTCAGGTTCTACTATCTATCTTTTGTTTTAACCAACAGGAGTATTCTGAAGACAGTAACTCTGAGCCGAATGTGGATTTGGAAAATCAGTACTACAATTCCAAAGCTTTGAAGGAGGATGATCCTAAAGCAGCGCTGAGCAGCTTCCAAAAGGTTCTATATTACATTTTATCTAGTGGAATACATGTGATTAAATAATATTTTGTTAATATCTTTTCTGAACATCCTCTACAAGGGTAGTTTTTTCAATGTATCTACTAAGGCAATCTAGTTCTCTTAACCTAGACTCATAACATGTTATTGGGCCATCAAATCTATGCTTTTTTTTAGATGAGCCACCAGATATAATCCTAATCTCTAACTTTATGAATTATCAACAGTTATTTTCCAAAGACCATACAGGCGGCTTTTGTTCTCCAGGTGACCTGTTACATGCTTAAGTAGCACACCATTTTAGACGTCATTTGTCTTTTGAGAGCATTTTCACATGTTAGCCTACGTTTACACTAAACTGAGTCATGAAAACAACCATAAACCCCACTAACTTTTGACCTCTTGGCATTTTTCTTTACAGAAAATTGTTACAACCAGCCTTAGTTTAACAAAATATAACTTAATTTGGTATTTGTTAAATGAAGTCAAAATGATTCAGTATTGAAAAATAACCCAATCCTACACACACTTCCTAGTAAAAATAATAAAATCATAAGGAATAGGAGGATAAAATTAGTTTCGGCTTAAACTTGCTCCACCATACAATAGTAGGTCTGATTATAGCCGGAATTCCATGAGTGTATGTGAGGAGATGCATGGGAGAGCGCACTGATTCCTGCGATGGCAGAACTAACGTACGAGGAGAGATTAATTGATTAGAATTATATTTGCTGAAGTTCTCAGAAATCTATAAAATTATAAAACAGGACAAGGCAGGTAAATGCAGGAAGGATGTACCTGATGACTGTGAATCCAGAACCAGGGGTCATGGTTTAAGGAACAAAAACAGAAATTGCTAGAAAAGCTCAGCAGGTATGCCAGCATCTCAAGAACGTTCTGAGGAAGCGTCACCGGATCCAAAACGTTAACTCTGATTTTTTTTTCCTTCACAGATGCTGCCAGACCTGCTGAGCTTTTCCAGCAACTTCTATTTTTGTTCGTGATTTACAGCATCTGCAGTCCTTTCGGTTTTTATTCACTGTTTAAGGATTTAGGGTAAACCATTTAGGACTGAGATGAGGAGAATTCTTTTCACCCAGACAGTGGTGAGCCTATGGAATTCGCTACCACGGAAAGCAGTCAAGGGCAGAATATTGTATAATTTCAAGATAGAGTTAGATGTAGCACTTGGGTCTAGATGGATCAAAGGATATAGGTGAAAAACAGGAATAAACTGTTCAGTTGGATGATCAGTTATGATCATAACGAGTGGCAGGACAGGCTCGAAGGACAAGGCCTAGTCTGCTCCAATTTTCTAAATTTCAAGCTTGTTTCCCGTAACTCTGTGGTCCCTAATGGATCAAAAATTTATCAATGCGAGCTTCCACTACCCTAGATTAGAGAATTTTAAAAGATTAATAAACTTCTATTTGCTTCCGTCTTAAATGGGAGACCCCTTACTTTGAAACGTCCTCCTAATTCAAATCTCCTCCATATGGGGAAAGATCTCTAAGCATCTACCCTGTCAGGCCTGTTCAGAATCAGTATATTTCAGTGAGATCACCTCTCAATCTTCTAAACTCCTATGAGTATATGTTCATTGGTATTTCTTTTTATCAAATAACAATCTGCAAAGGAATTCATGAACTCTGCTTCAACAACTGTTTATGACAAATAATTCCACAACTTAGCCAGATTTTTTATAATTTTCTTTTTATTTCTGTGATTATCTTGAATTTGTGTCCTTATGTTACCATTTACCTGTCCAGTATTCATATTCTTTAATAGTTTATTGCAACCCGTCCTAACCTGGAATACCTCCATTGGGTCATTCTTCAGTATTTTTCCCACCATTAAATAAAGTTCTAACTTCTCAACTCTAACAACATCCTTCTCAATTACAACTGAATCTTTTTGTTTGCATTTATCTCTTTCATTGAATAAGGTGTCTCCAATACAAAGTCAAGTATTCCATTTGCCTTTTTGAAATATCCTTTTCTGTTTGTGCAGTGAACTTTAGTAATAATCTGCAAATCTGATATTATTTGGTGCATATTTCCTTTTTTTTCAATCTTTGCTTGAAAATGTACTATTTCATTTTATAGCATAAAAATAGCTGGTCTGTCAATGTCCAACTGCAGTCTTTCTCAGTCCTTGTCATGATTGTCATATCTCCTTCCCATGTGGCCTTACCACTTCTATTCTCCAATCAATGGTTTCCTCCAAGGAATACACTTAAAAAATGCAAGTTGGCATTATATTGTTTTTTGACCTCATTCTGGAAATTAGTATATACCAGAAAATGATAAATAGGTCAGTCCATATTTATTTATTTTGCTATTTTTAACTTATACTTGTTAACAGTACCAATCCAGTTAATGGTTGACAATGATACAGTAAACAGTCCAAAACGTTGATCCAGAATTTGTGGTTTTAGTGATGGTAAAACTGTTGACATTTGCTTCCATTACTGCATAAATTAGACAGCAACTGCTGGCATCTGCATGGAAATCTGGTAGTTACTAGTGGTGATATCCTGTTCCACAAAGTGCGCTGTTGTAATGTACTTTTTAAACATTTGCGAATGGATTCTGATTGAATTTTTAGCAGCCTTGTGTGTCATCGTTATTGCAGAAAAATCTCTTTAGCACTGAAAAACTAGATTTACAAAAGTGGAGTGTCATTCTCTTATAATGTTTTAAAACTTTTGTATTTAAACTTTATTTATGATATTTTAGGATCCACTTAATCCCATCTGTAGGTCCCACTTTTGACTTTGATCCCTGGAAATTAAAATTAATAAGTGAATTATATTCCATGCTTTTTAATCTGGGGTTATCTTCAGTCTGTCTGATTGATGTAATTGTTGCTGGATGGCATTTTACCCCCTGTAAGTAATGGCAAGTGTAAAATCATGTTGGATTTCTACACTGACCACAATCTGGGCAATAATTTAGTAATTTATTTGGGATTATTTTATTATCCTTGTTTGCTTTCTTTCTCACTGTTATTTGTGACTTGTAATTTTTGATCACCCAGTTTGAAATTCAGTTTGATCTTTGTGCTGGATTTATTTATGGTCTAATTTGAGGAAATGTTGTTAATTATGCAGGCTATTAGCATTGTGGAAGTCTTTCAGATTAATTCACAGTCCTCTTTTGATCCAAGAATTTGATTCAAAAAAATGGAAATTTTATTTAACAAACATAATTGCTGTTTCTTCTGATTTCTTAATTATTTTTCTTTCATAATTTTGTAAAAGTTTTTCTTAGGATGTTGGTGTTGCTGGCAAGATCAACATTAGTTGCCTAATCCCTAATTAACCATGGAAATGAAATGCTTATTCGGTCATTTCAGGGGGCAGTTTCAGAGTCAACCACATTGTTGTGTGTCTTGACTCACATGCAGGCTAGATGAGGTAGAGATGGAAGATTCCTTTCTCTAAAGGTCGTTAGTCAACCACATGAGATTTTTATAACAATCAGTGATAGTTGTCGTTGCCATTATTGAGGCTAGCTTATAATTCCATCTCCCATCGTCAGAATTGAACTGGCAGTCAATCTTGGTCAAACGTTCCATGCATGTCAACCAGCCTTGGCTTCCGCATCCAGAAGGTGCTGTCGCACAAAGGCCTGCAGCAGAAGAAATTATTAGAGGGAACATTAATTTAACTCTGTATCCCCACAGGATTAACCTGGGTCTATGGATGACTAGCCTGATGATATTACCACCATACCACCACCTCCCCATTGTTAATGAATTTTTCCTTGCAGTCAGCAATTTTCCTGAAATTAATTGAGAAGTCACATATTAAATTAAATGGTAGCTGATTAGATTTAAGTCTCTGGATGAAGTCTTGCTTCGTGTTCACATTTTGAAAATGGTTGATAATTTAGGATTACAAGCTGTTTTCTTAGCACCATGTTGTAACTGGTTAAGGTTGAATAACTTGTGTAATTATAAGTGTAGAAAGGTTATTTCATACTCCAATTTTTTAAACTTGTCTTTGTTCTTTTCTGACATGAAATTATGAGGGTGAATAGATAATTCATATAAACCTCCCCATATGTTGATGTTCATCTGCTGTATCAGAAATGCTATCTACTTAACTTCAATACCTTTCATAACTGAAAGTTCCATTTGCTTCAAATAGTTTAAACCACATTTAATTATAAATTGCCATGTAAAAATTAAGTGCTTGCCAAAATACAAAGAAACACACAAATCACTGCCTTACTTAGCGAATATATCCCAATGTTCAACTTGCATTAAAGAGTTATGATTGTTGAACAGCAAAATTGTCTGGAATGTATCACTATTGACTAGATTGAGGCATAATACGGTACAGCACTAAAAAGTGTTATATTGGTGCTAAACAGTTATGATGCAAAGCAGGTGGGACCTGTCCAGACTTGGGGGACTTAAACTGAAGTGGAGGGTGCCCCTCACTACTTTGCATGAGTGTCATCAGGACAGTGACAGTTGATTTGCTTTACAAGAGTTTAATATCAATGCAGAGCCGCAGTTGCTTCATGCCAAACCTAAACCCATAGTGCATGTTCATGCACAGTCTAACCGAATGGGGATTACAATAAAGTAATATATTCGACATATTGTACAGGCAAACTCTTAGTTCATCATAATTGCGTGCTGCAAATCTTGCACTTCAGTGTACGAGTTCCTAAATATTTTTTGAGCATTCAGCTCTGTACTTGATGAAATCAGCTTACCTTCTAACATAATACATTAAGTGGCTGGCATTTCTCTTGTTCAATTAATTTTGAAGTGTGAGCACTGCAGAATGAGTTTGAGAAGTAAGTAGCTGTTTTTGACACACATATGCAATAGAAATATTTAGATTATTTTTCCCACAGGTATTGGAACTGGAAGGTGAAAAGGGAGAGTGGGGATTTAAAGCGCTCAAACAGATGATTAAAATTAACTTTAAGTTGGTAAGAACACCAAATGACCATAATGTTACTTCTTATCATGCTAATTGTATTTAAAATGATTTCTGTTTTAATATGAAAGTGTTAAACAAACAATACATTAATTAAATTGCCTTTGTTTCAAATGAAATCATAGAATAAACATTTGACACTTTTATGCTTAATGTACTTCTTTGGATTACTTGTTTCTTTGTACGTATCTGACTGTTAAATTCTGAAAAGATTATATGATGTTTCTAAGTGTAATGTACAAGTAAAGTCACAAATAGAAGATAATTGAGCATTATTCTATAGGGTAACTATCCAGAAATGATGAACCGATATAAGCAGCTGCTAACGTACATTCGGAGTGCAGTGACAAGGAATTATTCAGAAAAATCCATCAATTCCATCCTTGATTATATATCTACTTCTAAACAGGTATGCATTTGAAACTGATCTGCTGAAACTTTATTATTGGTTATTGACATTTAACTTGTTTTTTCATAATTGTTCATTTAAGTCATGTTCTGCCACAGTTGTGGAAGAAATTGTGAAAAATCAGCTGAATTTAAATATGTTAATATTCAAAAGTTAAATGCAAATCTCGATTCTGCTTTCAAGCGATGAATGCATCAACATTCTTGAATGCACTTAGCACCTTTATACATTGGGTCTGTAAGACTGGGAGTCACTTTTGCATCACTTCTTATAACTGGACAATGGTAAATGGGGAATGGCCATAATGTGAAGTTATTTGAGACAAGGAGAAAATATTTAAAGGATTCCCCACATATGTTTGCCACAATCTGCATAAGCTACAAAATCAATAAATTAGATCCTGAATTCAGTAATTAGGAGTATAAAGCACATTTCGTCCAAAGGAAGAAGTCCCAAGACACTACACAAAAGTATAATTGCACAAAAAATAAAATTACTAGTCCAAAGAAGGCTGTATTAGGAGACGTCAGTAGAGGAATGACAAACAAATGGGTGTTAAAGCAGGAGCATGAAGTGGAGGGGTTAGGACACAGAAGATTGAAGGGAGAGTCACTAATGTTTGATTGAAAGGAGTCAGCAATGCAAAAAAGGCTAGATAGGGAGAAAATGTAGAGTTATTGAAGTTGTAGGGTTGGTGAAGTTTGCAGATGTGGGAAGAGAAAGGCCATGAGGGTTTTAACATGATGGCGAAAAGTTTAAATTGGAGGCTTTGGGAAACTGGGAGCCAATGTAGATCAGTGAGCATAAGGTTAATTGTTGAAGATCTTTGTGTGGAATAGGTCACAGGGAGTAGGAATTTTGGATATGCTGAAGTTTATGAAGGATGGGAGGCCCGCCAGGATAACATTAAAACAGTTGAGACTGGAGCTTGGATAAGCATGGATGTAAGTTTTATCAATGGAGGGAAAGAGGTTAGGAATTGCTTAAAAGACTATGGAGTCTAACACGATCTCTAAAGCCAATGAGCCCTGTATTGTGCTATTTAGTTGGCGAAATTTGTAGCTCATCTGAGACTGAATGTCAGACAAGTATTCTAAAAGCACAACAGAGCAAATGTCATCAAGTGCTGTCAACTGTAAAGATGTACATTTGTACAGTATTAATGAGATGAAGTCTTACGTAAAATTTTGACCTCTGCATCACGAAACAGGGATATGTATTGCAAAAATTTTTTTCATTTGCTACATAATGTACTTTTTAGTGAAATCTGATACAAGCCATTTTGTACTTTTTTAAAAGTTAAAAGATAATTTGTTTGTAATCAGTAAAGTTTTATCGGCAACATACACTTGCACCTGCCTTAACAGTGTAAGTCTAAATATGTTGACTTATTTAGCCCTCTGTAGAGCTTTGTTCAGCCACCTGTGTATATACACATACGCATTGTCAGGATAGAGAAAAGCAGAACCTGGCCCCATGCAAATATGGAACGCAACTTGTGTTTTCCAACAACTTTTTAAACCTAATTTTAGAGTTTTTTTTAAGATTATAATTAACAGGTTTAACTTAAACTGAGTCCCTTGAGCATTTCAGATTTTATTTTCACAGCAGTAAAATTGCATTCAGGAATTTTCCAGGATTTCTGATCCTGATTGCTATCCAATGACACCTGCTAAAAAGATGTATGTGTCTTTTCAGGGTCACCTGTGATATTTTTTCCACTTTTGAATAGCCTGCCAACATTTCCCTGTCATAAAGAGCATCTATTTGGGGTTGAGGTTTTGGAGGACTTTTTGGCAGCTGCAAAGCGGTATGCCAAGCATTCTTGCAAAACCAGGAATGTACATTTGATTTTCATGTGCTTTTAAAACAGAATGTTAGTAGATAAATTGTACAAATACCATAAATGTATCTCATGTACATGTATACTTACACAGTGTTCATTTTATGTCCTACTTTTAGTATGCTTTCAATTTTGTGGGCTTCATGTGTGTCCGGTTATGTTTGTTTTAATCTGCATGGATTAATCAAGCACTCCAGCTTGTCATCAAATACCAACTTTTCTGTGATCTTTTCTCTCTTTTAAAACTTACTATTTACAATGCTGAATGTTCTAGTGCTTTTTGGAACTTGTCCTTTTTCCTATGATGTTTTAACTTGAAAGTCAACAGGAATAGTCCTTCGAAGAAGGACGTTCATACTCAGTGATCCTTGAGTTTGAGTGTAGCTCTGGTTTTTCATTCTTTTATATCTCAAGTGCAATAGGTACATAGCTCTTTCTCAGCTCTTGCTCAGAAAAAGCTAGAGAAATTCAGCAGGTCCAACAGTAGCTGTGGAGAGAAAACAGTCCACTTTTCAAGTCCAGTGACCCTACTTAAGAACTGTGTTCTGAAGTGTTAACTGCTTCCTCTCCATGGATGTTGCCAGCCCTGCTGAGAAATAAAACAAATATGGAGAGATAAATATTGTCCAGGACATCAGGACAACAGGACAACACCTGTGCTGCTTTCTGAATAGTGTCTTGGTATCTTATACATCCACCTGAAAGAGCAGGTTGGTTTCCTTTAAATGTCTTGTCTGTAAAAACAGACCTTCTCAAAAATTGCACTGAATTTTCAACCTGAATTAGCTACTCTAGTCCTCAATTGAGGCTCAAACCTGCAAACCTTGAGTGAGAAGTAAGAATTCTGCTGAGTCTAGATAACTTGATTTCAGTTCTCCACACCAGCTTCTGATTTTTTTTTTTAAATTACAAATATTTTCTCAGAGTCCTTCTCCTATATGTTGTGAAACAAACAGAAACAATGCAGAAATGGTGATAGTTTACAATTTCCTAAGCAGTAGATCAGTTAATATTGTAAAATCATGGAATATAACAGTCCAATACAAATGATTTGTGCCAGTAAAACACACAAATCATAATGCTCTCCACTGTTTCCATAGCCCTTTCCCTCTTCCTGAAAATTAACTAATAGAAGATGAGTACTTTACCTATCAGTAGTGGTGGTCAGTATTTGAACTCTCAGATATCACTGGATGCTTCTGCAGGGCTGTATCTGTCTTCTGAAAATTTATTCTTCATGATGCCTCAAAAAAGCCTGTGAAAACAAAATGATTGCTTGTCCACAATGTTCCACAGTTGGTTCTTTGCCTTATCTTCAGTTCCTCATTCTACACTCAGCTGTTTTCTTTACTACACATACTTAAGTTTGTGTCCAATAATGTAGGGCAAGGTAATGTTACTGTGATGTGTTTTAGGGCTCATTATAGAGTTAAAATGGAGAAATTTTAACCTGCGTTTATGTTCTATGCATTGTGTGACTGACATTTTGGCCTTAAAACCATAAATGTTCATTACTCTTCTATTTTCTTTGCACTTTCCCCAGCTAAAACTCCATGTGTTATTGCTGTGATAAGAGTACCAGCAATTTCTCATTACAGCTCAGAAGCACTGTCTCTTAAATAGGAATAGGAGAAAGCGTGTAGAGGAAGGAAGCATTCTAGGAGAGTTTAATGTTCTTCTCCAGTCTTATTATTACTCTTTCAATTTTGTTTTACCTACTTATTATATTTTATTTGCATTTCAGTTTTATTTCTGAACTTTTTTTTGTGATGTCTTCCTTTTCTGAACCTTTTTTTTTAAAAACTTTTTCTGTTTTGTCACGTTACTTTTTCTTCCCATTTTAACATCTTTCTGTCCTTTTCACATTTTTATTTCTATCTCCTCCTTCCCCTTCCCTTTTTTTTTCTCCTTTACCTGCCCTCTCCGGAACCTGTTGATCTACCTTGTTCAAGCAGCAGAAGTCGATGAAGAGGCAGGGTAGCAACGGGGAAATCGCAGAAACGGACCTGAAAGCTTGCTTTGGAGGGGAAGCTGAATCCAAGGTCAGAAAAAGATTTGCATAATGTCAGGAGACAAAGATATGGACCAAAACCTAACATGATTGCTTGCTGTTTGCTTTTTCTTGCCAATGGTGGAGGGATTAAGTAAACCAGAGCTATGTTAATCTTCATTACATACCTGGGTGGCAAGCTATAGGCGCAGACATATGGGAATTGTGGAAATAGCAAGTGAGCAAGCACATTTGAACTTTTTTGCAGTTTTTAGACTGTTATGCCATGATAACTCCCATGTTTTGCATGTCCATATAGGCCTCTAGTGATTCAAGACACTTAGACTTGTTGTGCTATAGAAATAGTGTGAAAAAGGAAGTTCTCAACCTTTACCGCCATCAACAAGATATACACACATACACAAGAAGAAACTTTCATGAGAATAATGTGTGGTGTTTAAAATTGGGGATGCATTAAATAAATTGAAATGTAACTATACTAGTTTTCTGCCTCTAATGTGACCTGTCATTTTCTTGTGATGCAATGTTAGAGAAAATTTTGGATCCTCTGAAAGTGCCTCAGAAACTAAATATTCTTAACATGGTAACCATATTTAGATTCATTTTCCAAATCCTACCAAAGCTGTTATCTATAAAAACTCCAATTTCGTTTTAAACTTTGACGATAAAATTAATTTTAGCACCCTTTCCAAATGAGAGCAAATCCCTTCTAATAGGAGCAGTAAACTATAATTGAGAGTTAAATTTTTTTTAAAACTTAAGAATAACAATGAATAACCCATCACTGAAGTCTGGTACTTGGTGTAAAATTGCACCTTGCGCATGATGGTTATAGATTATATGGTTTTACAAATGACTGACAGAATCTGATCGTAGCAACAATGAGCGCTAGTTGCAGCACCAGTGCACAGGTTTAAAAGTGTTTAAAGAAGAAATGGCCTTTTCTCACTTTACTCTCATATACTTAATAACAATGCATTTTACAGACCCAATGTAGGCACAGTGGGCCAAGTGGCCTCCTCCTGTGCTGTAATCATTCTGATTTTAATATATAGTCCATGCTTGTAGCTTTTCAGCCTGTGAACAAAATCTGAGCTCTTCCACTTTTAATTAGGATCATGGTCCCAGCTAAATAAACAGTAATCCTTATCAGTCTTTTGGGGTGAATGCAACTTTATTAAAACTTTCCTTTTCCCGCAGATGGATTTGTTGCAAGAATTTTATGAAACCACGCTTGAAGCTTTGAAAGATGCAAAGAATGATCGGTTATGGTTTAAGACAAACACAAAGGTAATTATGGTCTTTTTGTTATAGTTAAAAATCTGTGTATCATTTTTAAAACCCTAATCAATTTAATACTCTGGGCAAAACAGCTGTGATATTCAATTAACCAATGTTAACTGTTAATTGTTTACAGCTTGGCAAACTGTATTTGGAAAGAGAAGAATTTGGGAAACTACAGAAAATATTGCGCCAACTCCACCAATCATGTCAGGTAGTCTGACTTCTCTTGGAATATCCAGGGAATAGTAAAGATCTGAATTAAGTGTTGAGTTTTTTTTTGATAACAATAGTTTTTTGACCTGGTATATTTACAGAAATTTCAAATTCAGATTGAGAGTGAAGACAGAGTCACATTCAAGAATTTCAGTGTTAGGCAAAGGTAATTATACAGGCCTAAGGAGAGAGTTGGCCCAAGTGGACTGGGCAAAAATATTAAAAGGCGGGACAGTTGAAGAACAGTGGAAAATGCTTAGAGCGATACTCAATACCTCTCAATTAAAGTATATTCCTGAGCGAAAGATGAATTGTAATAAGGTGAAAAATCATCCATTGCTTAATGAAGAAGTCAAGGATAACATAAATGCAAAAAATAGGGCATATGATACTGCAAAAGTTAGTGGTATTCTGGGAGAACTTTAAACATTGGCACAGGGTTGCTAAGAATGAAATCAAGAGGTGAGATGGACTATGAAAGAAAAATTAGCAGATTAGCAAAAATTAGAAAAAACTAGCAGAAAACATGAGCACTGATGCCAAAAGCTTCTATAAGTATATAGAAGGAAGAGAATAATGAAAGTGTATGTTGGCCCTTTAGAGGACAAAAATAGTGAGGTAATAATGGGAAACTCAGAAATGGCAAAGGCAAGGCACTAAACCAATGTTTTATGTCTGTTTTCATGTTGATAACTTCTTCCAAACAACTGTAGTTAGTACAGAGGAACTTGATGAAATTACCTTCTCCCTAGTTATAGTATTAAGTAAACTGATAGGATTAAAGGCAGATAAGTTCCCAGGGCTGATGGCCTGCAGCTGAGGGCATTAATGGAGGTGGCAGCAGAGATAGTGGATGGGTTAATTATCGTTTGGAAAATTCTCTGGATTCTGGAAAGGTGAAAGTGGATTGGAACATGCAAATGTGATACCTTTATTCAAAAAAGGAGATCGGCAAAAATTTGGAAACTATAGACCTCTGTAGTGGGGAAGTTGCTGGAGTTGATCACAAAGGAGGAGATAACTGAACAATGGGAGAAACAAAGCTCAATTCATCAATGTCAGCACAGTTTCACGAAGGGCAAGTTGTGCTTGATAAACTTGTTGGAGTTCTTTGAGGATGTAACCAGCAAGGTAGATAATGAGGATCCAATGAATGTGGTGGATCTAGACTTCAGAAGACATTTGACAAGGTGCCACAAAAGAGGCTGATCCAGAAGGTTAGATCCCATGAGGGTTAAGAATAGCATATTGGCTTGGATAGAGGATTGGCTGACTAATAGAAAGCGGAGGGTTGGGATAAATGGGTCCTTCTCTGGATGGTGAACTGTAACTAGTGGGGTGCTGCAGCGTTCAACTATGGACCTCAACTATTTGCAATGTTTATAAATGATCTGCAAGCAGGGACAGAGTGTAACATAGTAAAGTTTATGGATGATACTAAAATAGGTGAGCAAGCAGGCAGTGATGACGAGATAAAGAGTTTACAGATGGATATGGAGAGACTAGAAGAATGGGTCAGAATCTGGCAGTTGAAGATTAATGTGGATAAGTGCGAGGTTGTCCATTTTGGCCAGAAGAAGAGCAAATTATTATGTAAATGGGAAGCGGATTCAAAGTGCATCAGTGCAGAAGGATCTGGGCATCTTTGTGCATAAATCGCAGGAAGTGGATATGCAGGTGCAGCATCATCATAAAGGCAAATGGAACCCTGGCATTTATTGCAAAAGGTCTGGATTATAAAAGTAAAAGAAGTATTATTACAATTATACAAGGTATTGGTGAAATTACGTCTAGAATATTGTATCCAGTTCTGGCCGCCTTACTTGAAGGAAGATGTGGTGGCACTGAAGGCAGTTCAGAGGAGGTTTGCAAGTTTGATTCCAGGGATGAAAGGGTTGTCATAGGAGGAGGATTGAATAGCTTGGGCTTTTATTTGTTAGAGTT